AGGAAAAATGACTAAAATGAAGAAAAAGAAAGAAAATAGACCTTACTTCCTCTTTTATCTACGGTGCACGAAATTTATAGGGAGAAGGAGTTTTCTTGATTTTTCTACAAAATTTCTATGTAATTTTCCACAATAATATCTTACATTTTAATAATCAAAAAGTCAAATATGAACAAATATAATTCACTTTCCACCTTTTTCCCTTTGTAATTTTTGAAAATTACAATTTAGTCACTAAAATTTATAATTTCAACTTATTATGGAAAATCCATCTAAATTCCAAGGATTCATGTCAAATTTCATCATTCTAAAATATAGAAATAATATTTCTAACCCTTTTCCATCATCCTTCAAAATTTTGTAAACTTACGATTCGATTTAATTATCCAAATACTTTACCAAACTTTATTGCTTCATAGCTTTTCATACAAATTTCGGATCAAAATATGAATTTCATAGAGAATATATTCTTAAGGACAAACTATTTATTTTTGGAATAAGAATTCTTTATGAGAAATTATCAATTTGATCCTTAAACGTTTCCTAATTTTCTACTTTAGCTACCAAACTTCCAAAAATTATATTTTAGTCACTAGTCAAATTGTTGGGGTATTACACAGAGCTTTATAAGGGTCAATAAACCCAATTTTATCTCATTTAAATTACGACTATTTGATTTTTAAATTTTTAAACATTGAAAATTCATTATCAAAATATGACCTTCATTTATATTGGTCACTAAACTTTTGAATGTTCTGATTTTACATCCAAACTTGATTTTGGGGGACACTATTGGAACATTAAAAATTTAAAGAGCATTTTAGAATGAGATTCATAGTTTGGGGATGAGTTTGGAATGTTAAAAAGTTTGAGGATCAATTTAGAATAAGAGTCATACTTTTTGGATGAAATTACAATGTTTGAAAATTTTATGAATCAATTTAAAATGAGGATCATAATTTACAAGGATATGTGATTCAATTAACTATAAAATTAAATTTAATTTTAATAATATAATGTTATCAAGCTTGTTGTTAAGACTTTTATGGCCTAAGGGTAAGGAATAGTCTACAGAGCACGTCACATACCGTAACGTACCAAAACGTATTACCACAAGTAAATTTGTTTTTATTACGTAAATATTAAAAAGTATAAGGATTTATTTAAAATTAACAATTAATTAAGATTTAATTTTACTATTAATAGAATTATAATTTAATAATATTTTTTATTAAAAATAATAATTAATTTTAGTGGTTTAATTTGTTTAGATTTAGGTTTTCTAAATTATTTAAGCGTTGAATGTGGGCTTCACCAACATCACTGACGTCGACCTGCTCGCCATCGTCCAGTTTGCCGTCGCAGAGGAGCAGCAGAGTCGGCAGTAAACCCGCAACTCGTTCTATTTGTTTTATTTGCGTTGGCCTTCGAAAAATCAACCCACGACCAGGGCCGGTCTTGATATTTTAAGGGCCCTAGGCAAAATAAAAGATATCGGCCCTTAAAAAAATAATTTAAAATTCAAGAATAAATTTCGATAAACGCCAAACAAATTTTTTCATTAAAAAATACGAGTAGATTTTATTACATTAACCAACATTATTTTACCAAATATATAAAGAGATATAACAATTTTTCACTCAATTTACTCCTATTATATCTTCAATCATCTCTTAGAATCATTTATCTCAATCGAAAATTGACGTCTCACCTACAAAACAACATACACAAATTCTCATAAGAAACGGGTTCTTCTAGCATTTTGAGATGCAAAGTCATTGATAATAACATCAACATCAATGTTTCCTATCATCTCCTTCTCAATAGCTAATGTTGCTAAACCATTCAACCTTTCTTGTGACATTGATGACCTCAAGTACGTTTTTATTAATTTAAGCTTTGAGAAACTTCTTTCGGCTGAAGCTACGGTCATAGGCACAATTAATAAAATCCTATAAGCAATTGAAGCATTCGGATAACAATCTGCAAATTTGACAAACTTAAGAATTTCAATGGCGGATAACAATTATGTCGGCAAAGTCATTTGTAAGACTTTCAATTCAGAGAAAAGATCATCTAAGTCAACATCCGATGAATTGCCATGAGAAAATGTAGAATGAAAATGAGCACAACATTCTTTCAACTCATTATTATCTAATGACTTTAACTTATTTGAATCATATAAAAATCCAAAAATACTTTCAAATGTCTTCAATTGCTCAAATCTATTCTTCAAAGAAATAATTGTCATATCTACCACAACCAAAAAATAATTGACTCTAAATGACTCTTCAGGCGATTCAACTTCGTTATCCTCATTATTCTCTCCAAAAAATTTATTCCTAATCACACAACGTTTTGTGGGAAAGATAGGCTCCACATCCATTTCAAGTGCAAGACTTTTAGCTACATTCATACTAGTTGTAAAGCCTTCATCTCTATATTTTTCAAAGTAGAACATCACACCTTCTAATTGCCTTATGGTAGTATCAATGCACATAGACTTAGATTGTAATTTCTTGCTTACCATATTAACAGAAAATAAAATGTCATACCAAATCACAACACCAAGCAAAAACTCAAAACTTGAGAGTGCATTCACCAAACTTCCAGCTTCACTTTTTGACTTTGCATCATTTTCACAAGATTCATATAACTCACACAAAGCCAATCTTATTTGGGGACATTTAAATCTAATAGCTTTGACACTTTTAATTCAACTCTTCCATCGAGTATTTGATAAATATTTCATAGTTAATCCAGGAACATTATCAAGTAAAATTTTCCATCTCTTTGTAGAACCCGAAAACAATGCATATATGCGTTGAACAACTCCAAAAAAAGAAATAGCTTTAACACAAGAATGTGCCATATCACCAAGAGTGAGATTTAGACTATGACAAGCACAAGACATGTATAATGCTTTTGGATTAATTTCAAGAAATCTTTTTTGAACACCTTGGTGCTTTCCTTTCATATTAGAACCGTTATCATAACCTTGTCCCCTCACATCATCAACATTATGATCAAGAGACTTCAAAACATTTTGTAGTTCATTAAAGAGTCCTAATACAGATGTATCATCCACTTTTAGAAACTCCAAAAAGATCTCCTCAATTTTAACTTTGTTATTTAATATATTAACACATCGAACTATGAGGGTCATTTGTTCTTGATGGCTCACATCAGGCGTACAATCAAGAATTATGGAAAAGTATTTAGCCTATTTAATGATCTTAATGATAGAATTTCTCACACTTTGAGACAAAAGGGAAATGAACTCATTTTGAATTTTATGTCCAAGATAATGATAATGAATTTCACGATCTTGAATGCGTCTAACATGATCTTGCATAATGACATCAAACTCTGTAATCATTTCAATCAATCCCAGAAAATTACTATTGTTATCTTGAAATAGTTTTTCATTAGATCCTCAAAATGCAAGATTATGTTTAGCAAGACATTTCACAACTGAGAATATTCTTTGTAACACTTGTCTCCAACATTCTTTCTCTTTCATAATTTCATAATTATATCAATGACATCTATATACACCGAAAGAAATTTTGAAGGTTAAAATTATTGAAAACTTATTTGAGAATTTAGATAGTCAATGTCACAATAAATAGTGAATAATTTAGTTATTTTATGTACTTCCAAAAATATGTTACAATATATTAATATAGACACTATTATTAATAATTTTATATTTAAAAATTATCGTATAAATTATTTTGTGTGAGTAATAGGATATTTCATATATATTTTTTTTATCAAAATAAGTATTTTTTTAATTTTTCATTCGAAATGTAATATGTTTATTAGATAGTTTGTTGAGCGTTATAAAAAAATAATTTGCAAATAAATTAATTTATTTTTTCATGCTCTTAAAATTTATTTTTTTAATACTTATAATTCTAATAGTTTAAATCTATTTTTTAAAGATATTATAATTAAATTTATAACCATAAAAAGCTAACTGACTCTAAATTATACATTTTAATTATGAGCATAGGTGTCTCTCCTGCTCATATTCAAACCCATATTATTATATAGAGTAAACTACATATTTAGTACATAAATTATTATTTTTGGTATATTTTACAGTTTTAATATTTTAATATTTTTTTTTTTAAAATCATACCTAACATTTAGTTTTTTTCCTTTTTTTCCATGTTAAAAATTGAACGTTTAGTACCTAAACTATCAATTTTTGTCTATTTTAATACCTAAATTTTTAATTTCTTTCAAAACTTAACGTTAAATTTTGAACATGAGTATTAAGATGAAACAAAAATTAAACTTTATGTATGATTTTAAAAAACTGAAAATTTAGGTACTAAAATTTATAGTTTAGGTACTAAACACGTAATTTACCATATTATTTAATTTGTTAATAATCAATAAAATTATAAACTTATAATTCATTCACAAATTAATGATATCGATAGTAAAAATTATGTTATTTCTCAAAATTCTAAATTCGAGTATCAAGAATGTAAAAAATACGATCATTTAATATCAACTTATTGAGAAAATTATCTTTAAAAACTACTATCTTATTTTTAACTTATATTAATTAAAAATATACTTCTAATTCAATAAATCTACAATTCGTGGGGGGGGGGGGGGTAAAACCCCGCATTTTTAGAGACTACTAACCCAATTTCCCATTTCTGCATAAAAGAAAAAAGAAGCTTTGTCTGGTTGCAGGCAGCAGCGCACATGACAATGACTACGATGATATGAACATCAAAGACTATTAATTCGACTTTTTCTTCAATTTCTTTCCATAATTCCTCTCTATTTATTTTCTCCTTCTTATCCAATCATCTAAGTCTAATAAGCACATTCCTTTCATTTTCTCTCTTAATTATATTTTCTTTATTTAATCTTTCTGATTAGTATAGTTAATGCAAATACAATAGTATTCTTACATTTAAAACGTTGAATTTTGACTGTTGGGTGATATTTCTCGACTCTTTGTGCCTCTACTCAGCTATAGTGAAGTCAAATCAGGCTCCAAACTTAATTTGTTATTCTGGGTCACTCTTGAGTTTCTGGAATCAGCAAAGTTTATGGACTGTGCTTTTCTTCCTTGATTTCGTCTCTAGTTTGGGTGATTAGTTTAAAATTTATCTTCTTTTGTAATAACAACGGAATTCTGTGGTAGTAATTCGTTTGTTTATTTCAGTTTACTAATTATTAGTATTATCATACATAAAATTGGTAGAGAAGAATTGTTTTTGTTTACCTGAGGCTTGATTCCTGCTGCTAGGGAATGGATCCTGCTGCTAGGGAATCGATCGTTTGAAGAAAAACAGAGAAGCCTCGGCAAATTTTCAGTAAGTTGGTAGTTTATAGCCTATTTGGTTGTTCTGTTTCACTCATTTGGGATGCAGCTTTTTTCTTGTTCTTCATATATGTTTGTTCTGATGTTTGAAGATGTTAAATCATATAATTTCAATTGCCATTATTTTTCATCTTCCCTCCATTCTTTTGGGTTAAAATCAGTTTTTTTTTTATGTTATTTTGCTGTATCAATAAGGAGGTTTTCAGATAGAATATTCACCTTGTCTTTCAACTTCACTTCCCTTTTTCCTTTTTGTTGTTTTAAAAGTTTTTCAACATTACTTCTGCTAAAGGTTTTGGTGTCTCTTATGATTCATGTTTGTGAAAATTGAATGACAAAGCTGTTGATAACTGTTTCGGTAGTAGAACAAGGTTCAAGCCATAGAGTTTAAAGAGGCATGAGTCAACAGAAAATCAAGCGTCATGTGGGTAAATATGAGGTGGGAAGGACTATTGGGGAGGGGACATTTGCTAAAGTGAAGTTTGCAAGAAATTCTGAGACGGGAGAGCCTGTGGCACTTAAGATCCTTGATAAAGACAAGGTTCTCAAGCACAAGATGGCTGAACAGGTTTCTTTTGATCCATTATTTTCCCCTCTTTCTTCATGGTTTGAGAAGAAATTTTGTTTGTTTTTAGTTTCTTTTCTTCCATTTAATATTGGTAAAAACCTCATCAATGCTTCTATATCCATAGTTTGTCAATGCTATTGTAATCACATTATAGGAAGTTCAGATATCATATCAGATTTCTTAGACTTTTTTTCTGCTTGTTTTTGCAGATCAAGCGTGAAATAGCAACAATGAAGTTGATAAGACACCCGAATGTTGTCCGTTTATATGAGGTTTCTATTTCTTTGTGCGTGTTCTTGGTTGATTATATACCACGTACTCGTATTCCCTTTTCTGCTTGTTGGGGATTTGTACTTTTTACCGTGATCTTCTATTTTGAAACAAAGTCTTCCTTCTTAATTTCGGTCTTTAACAGTAATATGTGTGGCATTTTCTTTCTCCAACCTTGAACATTATATGAAAATTTTTGGAATTGATCGTATATTTATTAATTTTTAGCAAAAAACCAGTGTAGGCATCTGAGAAAACTATTTTAGTTGTAGCCTGCATATGTACGTTTCTGAACTGTCTGCAGAAATATGTACCCAATCTAGATATATAATTAAGATGAAAGAAATTATTTTGATAACCAATCTCTTGCAATGCCTATGTGGAACTTTTATCTATCTCTTTACAAGGTTTATCCTGCCGTTTGATCTTTATAACTACTTAATGACACATCGTGCTCTTCTGTGTGCCAGTTACAGAAGAAAAGCAGACCGAGAAACAAGCTTTAAAATTTTTATCGAATCATTTTGTATAATTTTGTTCAGGTAATAGGAAGCAAGACAAAGATATTTATTGTTTTGGAATTTGTCACCGGGGGAGAGCTCTTTGACAAAATTGTGAGTTGGTGAATCTTGACATCCCAAATATTAATATATTTTTCTAGTATCAGCAATGCTAATATATTTGCAGCTTGCTATAACTCTAGCTAACCACTACCTGATGAAATTTCTTCCCATTCACATGGCTTTCCTTCCCATATGACTTTAACCATTTCTTAATTTTGAAGGTAAACCATGGAAGGATGAGAGAAGATGAGGCACGGAGTTTCTTCCAGCAACTCATTAATGCTGTTGATTATTGCCATAGCAGGGGTGTTTACCATAGGGACCTTAAGGTATTTAACTTAAAACCCTTTGGGATGAATTTGTTTATACTTGCTTATATTTGTCTACATGCATGCATGTTATGCTGTAAGGAAATTATATTGCTTTAAACTTTAATGTGATCTTTTTGCAGCCTGAAAATTTGCTGTTGGATGCTTATGATAACCTCAAAGTTTCTGACTTTGGATTGAGTGCACTATCCCAGCAAGTCAGGGTAATGTATTGCCTTTTCTTTTTCCTTCTAATGATTGGTGATTAGTAAACTTTGATACTTGAATGCCTCAGCATTCTTGAGTCCTCAACCTTTTTCCTTTGAACTATGAAGTCGTCCAAGTTTGTTCTATCTCAAGCTTATTGATGATGAAGGCCTTACTGAGTAAAAATGTTGCAGAGTGGAAAGGCAGATGAACATTGGTGATAATGATTGAGAGAGCAAACATTTTTATGAGTGTTTCTAAACAAAAAAACAATAATAGGATGAAGGATTATGGAATTGTAAACCAGTAATGTTGAATAGAAGTAATAAACTGAATAAGAAAATGTATGCTATAGATATTCTGTTGTCCATGCTCTTTATCTGCTTATTGGGCTAGTATTTTGAACTCCCGAACCAGATGTAACTGATTCGGTAAACGTGCAAGACTTGTTTCATCTCTTTTTATCTTTGGTATCTTTTAGAACAACACAACATTTCTAATCCGAAGAAGAATTTGTAGGAAGATGGCCTCCTTCACACGACCTGTGGGACGCCAAATTATGCTGCTCCTGAGGTGTGGTCAATTGTTAAACCACATTAGTTTTCTTCTAGCATTTGCACCTTGGAAACCCATTTATTAACAATTTTATGTCTTCCTATATAGGTCCTTAATGATAGAGGTTATGATGGGGCGACCGCAGACCTCTGGTCGTGTGGCGTGATACTCTTTGTGTTGCTTGCAGGTTACTTGCCTTTTGATGATTCTAATCTTATGAACTTGTATAAGAAGGTTAGCATTTCCTAGTTGCATGTTGCAGATATCCAGCTTTTTCATTGCCTGATTTTTACTCTCATTTCTTCAAATTTGCAGATTTCAGTGGCTGAATTTACTTGCCCCCCTTGGCTATCTTTTAGTGCGATGAAATTGATAACTCGAATCCTCGATCCTAACCCGATGACCGTAAGTTATTATACTTGACTCCAACATCAATGTAAACTAAATTCTATGTGGATTCAATAGGAATATGAAAAAACAATCCTATACTTCATGTCATGAAGGCCTCTATTTTGTCCTTTTTGTGGCAAGTAATAAAAGATTGTATATTATGCATGTTAGGCCTTCCATGCATGCAACCATGCATATTTATGAGTACATATCTCGTTTTTGCGTTGCAGCGCATCACCATTCCTGAAATTTTGCAAGATGAATGGTTTAAGAAAGACTACAAACCTCCCGTGTTCGAGGAGAAAGACGATACGAACTTAGATGATGTAGAAGCTGTATTTAAGGATTCTGAAGTAAGTGGATGAAACATAAGCATACAAATGCTGCTATATTTGATGCTTCTTAACATTTTTTTTCTTAATAACTCTATGTTGTTGGTTTGTAACAGGAGCACCATGTTACAGAAAAAAGAGAAGAACAACCGACAACTATGAATGCTTTCGAGTTAATTTCCATGTCGAAAGGGTTGAACCTTGGCAATCTGTTTGATGCAGAGCAGGTTTGCATTTTATAGCTCTTTTCCATGTTGAGTTTTGACTGTGGTTATGTTCAATTTTTTCCACGTATTTGGAGGGTCCTTGGAGGTTCATATTTCCATACATGCATTTCATTGATAAACAAAGAATTACGAGATTTGAGAGGAAATGAGAGAAAAAATTTATTCTCATATGTAAAACTCAAAGGATTACAACCTACAGAAACAAGTAGAATTACCAACTACCAGCTGATTTAGTGAGACGAGATATTGGGTCTTTAAGCAAGGTTGTGTCTTGTATTTCTGACATTGTGAAGGAAGTAAACAGGGTCAAAATTTAAAACATTATAATTACGAAAATCTAGTTTCATATTTTTTTTGATAGGAATAAAGGGCCTCAATAAAACCCCCTTGGTGATTAACGGAACTTAACAATAGTTCCTTAATCCACACAAGGAGGAAAGGAGTGCCCTAGGATTCATTAAACTCAAATATAACAAAGTAATACAAACCAATCTCCCTCAAGAGATACAAACCCAGAAAGAAACAGCCCTTAACAGAGCATAATTCAACCAATACCCGCCTTAGCTAGGACATCCGCCTCTATATTGGTTGTCCTACTAACCCAACTAATAAAACCTTCAAAAACACTAAGCTTTTGAATAATGTCTTTAACTATTTGAACATAAACAACAGGACAAGAGACCACATCCTTAATCCAGCCAACTGCCACCTGACTATCACTCTCAATAATCAATCTATCTTTAAACCTATGACGAATAGATTCAAAAAATCTAAACCCTTTAGGATAGCCTTCAATTCCATTAAAGTTGGGGGCCCCGGACCAGCAGGCTCTTTAAAGGAGCCAAGAATCGAACCAGACATGTCTTTCAAAATACCACCTAAGCCACTCCTCTTCCAATCACTCGAGGTAGCCGCATCCACATTAAGTTTAATAAAACCTTTTGGAGGAGGGGACCAAGGAAACACGGTTGAAACCCGATTAGAATGGGACGAGTAGGAATCCACTATGGACGGGTCAGCAATAATATCATCCTTGGAAATAGTAATATGAGTTTCCTTAGCTAGAAACCATGAAGCAAGCCTGCACCTAGCTAGAAAGAAAATCTCTGCTCGATCAAGCTTCCCTCCTTCAAACACTATAAAATTCCTGGTCTTCCAAATTGTCCATAGAACAACTCCAGGTATAAATGGCCAGATAAGAGAGTTGGTCTTCAAGTCATTCCAAGCCAATAGGAATCTTTTAGCATCTGCATGAAAAACCGACTGAAAATTCCAATAGCCCAAGAATTTCATCCAAATTGGCCAAACAATCGAACATGAAAAAAATAAATGCGATGAAGACTCTTCTTCAAGATTACAGAAAGAACACAAAGTATCATTTATGCCCTGAACACCTCTCTTAACCAGAGCTGTCTTGACCGCCAACTTCTTTAAGATAACTTGCCAAAGAAAAGTCTCTACTCTTGGAGGCAACAGACCCCTCCAAACATTAGACTTCCAAAATTTAGCTTACTCTGAATCGGGAGAACCCGAATAAGAAAGATTGACACATGATTTCACAGTGAAAACCCCTTCCCCATTCCCCTTCCAATACAGTCCATCAGCGGCATCAGCAGAAATAGAAAAATCAGAGATAACAACCATCAAATTTGCCCATTGCTCAAATTCCCAGTCATTCAACTCTCTCCTCAACTGAACGTTCCAAATCCAACCCCCTGAACTGAACTCCCCAAACTGAGATAATCTTCCTGCTTTATTCACTGCAATAGAAAATATTCTAGGGAACAATACCATCAAAGGATGATCCATTGTCCAATTGTCTTGCCAAAACCGAATGTTCCTCCCATTGCCAATTTTAAAGCTATATTTACCTCTGATACTACAGCCCAACGAATCAGCTTGATAATGATTTCTCACCATATCTCTCCACATCCAAGAAAGTTTAGGAGAGACTTTACTGTCAAACTGCATCAAGGAAGGATCCAATTTATATTTGATACAGAGCATTTCCCTCCAAACCGCCTCCCTCTCAATAGCAAACCTCCAAGCCCACTTTTCCAAAAGTGCCCTATTCACCACCTTTAAATTAGGAACCCCCAAGCCTCCTTCAATTTTTGGTTTACAAACATCGGACCAGCTTACCCAATGTATCTTCTTTTTCCCATCACCACCACCCCATAAAAAATTTGACATGATAGAATTTAGAGTCTTGTAAACTGAAGCTGGAACCTTGAACATTGACAAAAAGTATATAGGGAGTGAGCATAGAACTGATTTAATTAGAACTAGCCTGCCTGCCAGTGACAGAGAGGAGCCTTTCCAGCCCGCTAACCTCTTATTAAAGCTTTGAACCACTGGATCCCATAGAATGTTGGAGTTCCTATGTGGACCTAGAGGGAGTCCCAAATATTCTGAGGGAAAAGAGCCCACTGAACATCCAATCATAGCTGCCCAATCCTTAATTTCCTCTTCCTTTAAGTTCACCCCAAATAATTTACACTTCTTTAAATTCAGCTGGAGACCAGAGATAATCTCAAACACCCGAAGAACCCTCTTTACATTCAAGATCTGTTTTTTCGACGCCCCACAGAACATAATAAGGTCATCAGTAAATTGCAAATGAGTTAAATTAAAATTCCTCTCCTCTTTTCTAATGACCAATCCCGAAAAAAGCCCTCCTGAAACAGCCTTCACTATTAATAGATTCAAGAGTTCCCCAACTATATTGAACAACAATGGAGACAAGGAACAGCCCTGCCGAAGACCCCTCGCCATAGGAATTTCCTCAGTAGGAACTCCGTTCACCAAAACTGAAACAGTTGCTGAAGTGACACATTTCGAAATCCAACCTATCCATCTAGAACCAAAGCCCATTTCCTTCATTATTCTGAACAAAATAGGCCAGTCAAGAGTATCATATGCCTTCTTGAAATCAGCCACACCCTTTTAAACCATTCTTCCTCCAAAAGTCAATCCCTTCATTTGCTATAAGAGAACAGTCCAGGATTTGCCGACCGGGGATAAAAGCGAATTGACTTGGACTGATCAAATCTGAAATGCAACTCCTAAGTCTTCTTGACAGACATTTAGAGAGTATCTTATACAATCCACCAACAAGGCTTATAGGTCTAAAATCGTCCAGACCATCACTGTTTGAAATCTTAGGAATAAGAGTGATGAATGTGTGATTTACTCCATGTTCCCATTCCTTCCCCAAGTAAAAATTATGAAAGAATTTCATAATATCTACCTTAAGGGCCTGCCAAAACCTCTTGAAAAATCCCAGATTAAAGCCATCAGGACCCGGAGCTTTGTTGCTGCCACAAGAGTTCACCACATCCCACACTTCCTCCTCAGAAAACTCCTGTTCTAAGAACTGCTTCTGCTCCAAAAAATTTCTGGGAAAATCCAGATTCAAATCATCAATTTCTAAAGTAGTTCGTTCATTATAGATCTTAAAAAAAATACTCTTTAACTATGGCCTTAATTGCAGTTGGGTCTTCAACTGTTTCCCCTTTGAAGTTTAAAGCAAGTAGAGCATTCCTTTTATTCCTAATCGTAGCACAAGTGTGGAAGTATTTAGTATTGCGGTCCCCATCAGCAATCCAATTAGTTCTCGAGTACTGAAACCAGATCTGCTCCTGAATCTTGTGAAGCTTCCACAATTCTACTCTAAGATTTTTCAATTCAGTTAATACCTCACTGTCAACAACTCCTTGCTTCTGTTGAATATCATCCTCTATCAACGAAATTTTCTTCTCTAACTCAGAAATCAAAGCACCTGGATACTTATCTCTGTTCCCATACCACTTCTTAATTGCATGTTTGGTGTTCCTCAACAGACTAAAAACGCCTGCCTTCTTCTGACTATCCTTACCACTCTGAATAGAAGAAACAACCAGATCCTCAAAACCCTCCTCATCCATCAAATAATTGAATAATCTAAACGGTTTTCTACCCCAGTCCACTCCTTTATTCTCCAGAACTATAGCATTATGATCTGACAAAGATTTTGGTAGAAGGGACTGCAAAATGCCCGGAAACAGCTCTAGGAAGCGATAATCAACCAAAAAACGGTCCAATCTTACAAAAGTGGGATTCTCTTGGTTATTACACCAAGTGAACCTACCCCCATTCAAAGGGAGATCAATCAAGCCCGTATGAAGAATGAACTCATTAAAGATCTCCATTGAACTCCTACTTTGACCCCTTCCCAATTTCTCATCTTCTTGTAAATATACATTGAAATCCCCTCCCACACAAATGGGATAAGTCTGACCACTAAGGAAACTGCTTAATTCTTCAAAAAAACCCGATTTCTCCTCCACTGCTGGACCGTAGACATTGATGAAACCACACCTGGAATCAATACTCCGAAATTTACCGAAAGTAGCTATGAATCTTCTGCTAATAAACTGACTCTCCAGCTCAAAAACATTGTCATCCCAACAACACAACAGGTCCCCCGCTGATCCAACTGAAGGAGATTCCAAAATTCCTTTTAGCTTATTAATTCCACTTCTCCTAAAAAAAGACTTCCTAAATTTCTCAGTCTTAGTTTCTTGCAGCCAAAGAAAAGTAGGATTAAAGTTGGAGACTAAATTCTGAACAGCCCTCTTTTTTTCGTTTTTCCCCAAACCCCTAACATTCCATGAACATATTACTAATTTTGTCATCTTCAAAAAGGAAATAGGTACAGACACAACCCTCAATCAACCAAACCTTTATTAACCCCATTCACGCCTTTCTCTAAAGCTATGATTTTATCCAAAAAGGCTTCTTTCCCTTCCTTAAAAGACACACCCAAAAGCTTGCTAACCTCCCAAGTTTCTACCGCTTCTTTCAACAGAATCGAAAAAGCTGAGGAGGACGCTGTATCAATGCTCACCTGGTCGAGGGCTTCACGATACAGGATCCTTTTAGTTCTTCTCTTCCTTCTGATCAGCAAACCAGATTTGGACTTTAAGCATTCGCCTTCTGAAAAGTAACCTTCAATCTCCCTTCCTACACTCCCACCCCCAGATCCATTATCAGGATAAGGAAAAAGACTCCCATCAGCAATGTTCTCTGCTGATAAACAGAGCTGATTATTATTACTGGAATCAACATTTAGCTCCCTCTGCTTAACTACGGTACCCCCTGTTTCAGACGAGATGTTCAACAAATCCCCATACCAGTATCTTCTTTCCCTCGACCTGTTGTATACCCTTTTACAATTGCTCAGACTTCTAGTTTCCAGCACATTACTCTCTGTTGTAAACTCTCTTCTAGAGCGATGTAATTGCCTCCCCCTTGAGTTGTTATTTGAAACCAATTCCATCGGTCTTAAATTTTCTTCTTCGGGCTCTATCTCTACACTAAATGGCTTTTCTACAATTGGACTCGTTTCCAATACATTGGACACTCCCCTACTTTTACCTGATAAATGAAGGTTTTCAACCAATTCCCCAAACTTATTAATTGTAAATGTTGGCCCAGAAATAAAACCCGAAAAGTATTTTGACCCAGACTGCCCAGAGTCTTCAGAATGGGCCTGAGATCCATCAGCCGAATAATTTTGACTTCTAATCCTCAAACCTGCATACTCACCAACTTTAAACTTTCCAACAGTCTGACTTTCTGGCAGACCACATTTAATATCTTTCCTATCTAAGGAAAGTCTTGCTAGCTGTTTGTCCTCACTAGCTCCTCCAGAAACACGAAACACTCCCTGGTCAATCCAATTGTCCACTGACAAACGATTTTCCCCTGCTGCGCAAGTCTCACCTTCCCCATGAACTGACAACAATCTGTCTTCATCCTTCTCAGACATCCTCTCTTCAAAAAATATCTCACCGGAATCCTCCACCGGAAAATTACTGAAAAACGAACTAGAATACTCACTAGCTGATCCAATCTTGATACTTACTTTGAATGATCTTCCATACGATCCAAGAGTAATAACCTCTGGAACATCAAAAGGACTTTCCACCTTCAATAAAATTCTTGCCATTGTGAGGTCTTCTCTTTTCCTTGTACTATCATGGATATCTACCACACTGCCCCATCTACCAGCCAACTTCTCGAAGAAGGGTTCATTCCAGCATAACAAAGGAACACCTTTTAATTCCGCCATGCAAAAGGCCATTGGTACCCCGGTTTCATTCAGTAAAAGTTCCACTCGCTCGAACCACTGATTTAAAACTTCTTCCTTTTTACTCCATAACTCCAGCATCTCCTCCTGAGATTTAAGAACTATCACACAAGAATTCCAGACATAGCCCCATCTCGCAATTTGAACATCATGGCCTTCTTTTAATAATGCCGTCCGAATGAACTCCACTTGAAAAGAGTATTTGATAATCCCTGTTAACGACCTCTTCACCCAGTTGGCACTGTCTGTTGGGATATGCATCTCAAATATATTTCCCTTGACATTCCTCCTCTGGATATCCTCAGACATTAGATCATTGTTCCCCCTTCTATTCCCATTAGACAACAGAGCATCCCTATAAGATCTATCATCCCTTCTACTTCTATTAATATTATCTCTTCCTCTTGATTTTGAAGATTCTGCATTAATCTGACCAGCAACATTGTTTGAAGGAGAAAGCACTACCCTTGACCTTGAACGTTCATCCTTAAATCTGGCAGGACTAACTGAGATCTTCCTTCCATCAATCACAATCCCGTTAAACTCCTCAACAGCCCTCTTCAGATCCTCCTCCCTCTTAAAATGAACAAAAGCAAAAGTGGAAAATCTGTATTTTGGATTTCTAGTTTGGCTGGGAATAAAGACTCTCATAACAGGGCCATGGACTAAGAATAATTCCCTAAGCGTACGATGGGAGACCCTTTTACTAAGATTATCGATAAACGCCGACCAACACTCATCCGGAACTGACTTTCCTTTCAAATTCTCTCTCTCTACGTTTTTCTCTCTCTCACTCATCTTTTTTTAATCTAGTTTCATATTAAAATTAACTATTAGTTGCTTCACTTTCTACAGGGATTTAAGAGAGAAACAAGGTTTACATCAAAATGTCCTGCCAATGAGATTATTCACAAGATCGAGGAAGCAGCAAAGCCTCTGGGGTTTGATGTACACAAGAAAAACTACAAGGCGAGAAAATTTTACACATTGCTATAAAGGTAACTATCGAAATCTGTACATCCAGTTTGCTTATTCTTTCTTTTTCTTTTTTGTGTGTAGATGAGACTTGAGAATTTGAAGGCCGGGAGGAAAGGAAACCTGAACGTAGCCACAGAGGTAACTTACAACGATTTCGTAGCTGGAAAAATATTTGAGAAAATATAAGTGTTTGAAAATTAATTTTGGGTCTAGACCATTCGCTATAGTGTGGTTGGAAGTCTTCGTGTGGAAATGATGAGTTTCATACAATATAATAAATAATTAGAACTCGTCATGTGGACATGACAAGTTCCGTACAATATTCGTCCAATCCACATGACGAGTTCTAATTTTTTTAATATACTTTGTGAAACTCGTCGTGTAGCAATGACTAGTTTCATGTGTTTTGTAGCAAATGGCCTAGATCTCAAAATAATTTTTTCAACACCATTTTTCTATAAAAAAAAATCTCATCCACAATATTTCCAAATTTTATTGAGCTTACAGCAACATTTTATTTATTTTTCGGCTTACATTTTGTACTTATAAAACTCTTACTATGTCAATTAGATATTTCAAGTGGCACCTTCTTTACATATGGTGGAGGTGCGAAAAGCTAAGGGTGATACCTTGGAATTCCATAAGGTACCACTTCATTCTTTTATTATGTTTTCTAGATATATTATCTTCAGGGACGGAACTAGAATTAAACATTCGAAGGGGTTAATTTGTCTAACTTCAAAAGAACAGGTACTCAATAAGGATTTAAAACTAAAAGTTCGAGAGGGCAAGACCTAGTTCGATCAATATTTAAATCAATAAGGACAGCCCTCCCAAACATTACATGGTTCCGTCCGTGTATCTTTAGTATGCCACTGTGACTTGGATTATATGAATTAGATATGAGTGTCAGATATGAATATTTAGACAGAAATAAGAGTCGGAACAACATAGGTTAGAATAAATTTTGATGGCCATTAAAGGGTTGGTTTGTTTTTCGTCTGCAGTTCTATAAAAATCTTTCGAGCTCGTTGGATGATGTTGTTTGGAAGAGTGAGGAGGACATGAAAGAAGTGAAGTAAAACCAATGTTACCTCCATTGTTATCTAATCATTCCTTTTGTTTCCCTGATGGTTAAGTTTCTTATCTGTATGGCCTGTATGATTTAAGCAGACATGCTTCTTCCCATTGTTTTCCATGTTATTAGTGTTGGAAAACATGGATGATTCCCATGGGGCCTGCTTTACCCTTCTATGCTATGATATCAATATTTGGAAGAAAAAAAAAATACTTGTTGCCTTTTCATCTTGTAGTAGTTATTTATTAAAATTAAATTCCTAAATGTGATGTATTTAACATGGGACTTAGGTAGCACGAACAAAGCGTGGTCAGTTGTTAAGGGACTGTTTTTATTCCTTAAGATCTCTGATTCGAGCATCCCGTATATCGAGGTGTATAAGCGTTCATTATCAAATAGTTGAGTCTTCAACCATATATTATCTTGTATTTACTCAGACAAATAAAAAGAATATGAGACTCAATTAAAATATAGAGTAGGCATGAATAGGTTGAGGTGATTAGTAATGGATATAGAAATTCAAAAATAGAGGTCCAAATTTTTTTGTTCTTTTTAAAATAGGTATATAAATTTACTTTTTTTCCTCTTAACATACTAAGTTAAATTTAATAAATTTTCTAAAATAATTGATATGCATTTGCTCCAACATAATGGGATCATTTACCTCCTAAGAGGTTCAATATACTAAGTTAAATTTAATAAATTTTCTAAAATAATTGATATGCATTTGCTCCAACATAATGGGATCATATACCTCCTAAGAGGTTCAATGCACCGCCCCCAAGTGAAGCAGTAGTTAATTCAAAAAATTTAATTTTTTATATAATTTAAATAATTTTTATTAATACTTTAAAATTTTATAAATTCGTCACTTAAGGTTTACAACTTAAAGTAGATGCGGAGTTCAGAGAATAAGAAGCTTATTTATAGTGGAGTGAAAGTGTGTAAGGATTCAAATGTCATATTGGATAGTATGGGGACCATAAACAAGATTGCTGAGAAAAGAGAGATGGTGTAAACATTTTCATATTAAATATAATTTTGATATATCTTTATTATCATAAACTGTCATTAATTCAATCATTGAATTGACCCAAAAAGGAACACTCACTTATAATTCACTTATAATTCACTTATAATTCATGAATTTTACGTGAATATATATCGTCACGTCTCAAATTTAGAGGTATAACTTTTAGTTTAAATTAATTGAATCAATAAATTTTTAAAATCAAAAATCTTATGTGAATATATATTTTCATAGTCCAAATTTAGAACTAAAAATTGTTTCAGATATAGAGATGATCTTTTAGCTGAGGAAAAATTATATTAAACCATTGAATTATTACTAGAAGTGGTGCTTAACTAGTAGTATAATATAAAATGATATTGCAACATACATCTTTTACTATTTATCAATGTTAAATATAGACAATAATAAATAAATAAAAATTATTCACTCGATTAAAATCAGGTCAAGTTTGATTTGGATCGGATATGGGTAAATTAAATTCATATTATTTTTTATTCAAGTTACTTTCAATTCATGTTTTTTTGGTTCGGATTGCTTTCGGTTTGAGTTACTTTCAACTCGAGCTACTTTTAGCCCAACTAAAATTCAGGTCGATTGCGGTTAAATTCATATTATTATGAGTTTTAGATCAATTTTGGATCATCTTGTTTAGGTTTATATCAGGTTTTGGACTGAGTAAATTGATTCAAGTAATCTAGTACGAATTGAATTTGCCTTAGGTTCGATTTGGGTCGGATCATTTTGAATCCAGACTGAATTTGATTTAGGTTCGATTTGGGTCAAATTAGATCTGGTTCAGTTTAGTTCAAGTCTATGGAAATTTAGTTCGAGTATCGAGTCGGGTTAAAATTAGACCGGTTGATTTTCGGGTCGAGTTAATATAAGATTGATTAGTTTTGGTTCAAGTCAATATCGAATGATTCAGGTCAACCATTATATTTTACGGTCAAATTGGGTCGTTTCAATTCGGGTTAACCTTAAGATTTTTTGTCAACCTTTAAAATTTCAGGTCAACTGTTGTTATTCTTTGTCGTCATAACTTTCAATACTGCTCTTTATCACTTATAATTCAATAATTTTACGTGAATATATATTCTCACATCCCAAATTTAGAGGTAGAACTTTTAGTTTAAATCAATTGAATCAATAAATCTTTAAAATAAAGAATTTTATGTGAATATATATTTTCGGGAAGTTCTACCGTGTGACAGCCTTAATATACGGCTAAGGAAAGACGCAACTGGTTTTGTTATTATTTTTTAACATTTCTGGTAAAAAATTACCTAAAGATTATTATTTCTACCTAAAACATTAATGTTTTTTAACATTTCCGGTAAAGTGTCCAATAATAACAAAACGGTAGAAAAATAATATTTTAGGTAGCGCTTTACCGGATGTGTTAACAAAATCGGTAAAACGCCTAATAATAACAAAACCGGTAGAAATAATAATGTTTTAGGTAATTTTTTACCGAAAATGTTAAAAAAAATAATAACAAAACCGGTAACGTCTTTCCTTATTTGTATATTAAGGCTGCCGCACATGAGACTTCCCATATATTTTCACAGTCCAAATTCAGAGCTAGAAATTGTATTAAATATAGAGATGATCTTTTAACTGAGGAAAATTTATATTGAACCATTGAAATTATTACTAGAACTCGTGCTTAACTAGTAGTATAATATAAAATGAGATTACAACATACATCATTTACTATTTATCAATGTTAAAAATAGACAATAATAAATAAATAAATTATTCATTCACTTAAGTTCAAATATCGGATTAAAATGGGGTTGAAGTTTGATTCGGATTGGATATGGATAAACTAAATTCATATTATTTTCTATTCGAGTTACTTTCAATTCAGTTTTTTTAGTTTGTATTGCTTCGGTTTCAATTCAGATTTTTTTAGTTCGGATTGCTTCAGTTTGGGTTACTTTCAGCTCGAGCTACTTTTAGCCCAACTAAAATTCATGTCAATTTCGGTTCAATTCAGATTATTTTGAGTTTCAGATTAATTTTAGATCATCTTATTTGGGTCTACATCAGATTTTGGAGTAAGTAAATTGATTCGAGTAATCGGTTACCAATCAAATTTACCTTAGGTTAAGTCAGATTTTGGACTAAATTTTCATTGTCGATTCGGATTCGAGTTAGACCAAAAATTTACCCCAACCCATTGCCATCTAGTCTTGTCGATATGGAAGTCACCCAACCAACCCAATAGTAGCAGTAATTCCAATTTAATTTGGGCTGGATTTGACAATTTTGTTTTTTTCCCAATATAAACTAATTAAACACGATTCAAATTATAAAAATAAAATTTAATCATAAAATATATTAATATTAAAAAATACTATTTTCCAGACTCAATCATGCCCATGAATAAACCAAGTTGCTTGCTTTGTTGTTGGCAGTTAAGAAGGTTGGTCCATGCTTGACTCATGTCCAAAACAAAAAGAAATTAAACCTTCATATGCTGAAGCTCCGAAAGGTGTGACAGATTCACCCCCTTGCACGAAAACGAACCTATTAATTCTTATGAATGTGATGGCTATGATGCAAACGTTCAAGGAAGAAAATCGAAACTTGTTCGATATTCCAGTTAGCTTCGGATCTGTTAGCACAATTAATCCGATTACATTCATTCCGTCGGGTGCTTATTACGCTTGCACCAACACCAGTATTGGGGGATTGGTCCCTCTTTTTCTGTAACCCAGGAATGCTCTGCTACATCTTTTAAACTCATCCTTTCTTTTGGGTCTGAACAAAGAATATGGTTCGTTTTTCGGATCAAAACTCAACACAGTTTTAAGGACTAAGTAATGATGTTGTAAGAGTAGAGAGACCGGATTATGTCAACTTAAAATACAAGAACTAAATAATGATAATTGGACCGAAAACAGTTTGACTAACCTTTGCAAAGAAGTCCTTGTAATAAATTCTTTAATTCTGGGTTCATGTCATTAGGCAAAACCAAGGGGTTATTCACAATCTGCAGACGTTAAGATGAGCAATGTTGCTGGCGGCTGTCGGAAAATGTCTGAATGCCGGAATAGAAGCAGAAGCAACGGAGAAATTGAGAGCAAATTGCATACCTTTTCATACGTATCTTGTAGTGTTTCACCAAGAAATGGATAGTTTCCCAGTACCATACAATACAATGTAACTCCCACGGCCCATGTATCCGCAGCTTTTCCTCCGTACCTTGAGCCTGTTAATGGATTCCGTGTATGATCAAAACAAAAATGTACTTTGTTCTCGAACTATCACACTCCAATACTAATAAACCATAGTTGCAGCTAATTGAAGGAGCACCAACCTAGACAGCACTCAGGTGCAGTGAAAACAGGAGTCCCCGGAGAACGACGAAGCTCATCATTGTCATCCTATAAAAATAAACTGATTTTATCGGAAAAACAGTACATATAACAGCAAATATCTAAATGTGATTTAAAAGTTAAGTTGAACTTCCAAAAGCGATACAAACACAAAAAAAATGGGATAAATTTGATAACAAATAACAAGGATAAGGTTCTGTTACAAGGGTTCAAGTGAATTCTTTTCAGAATGTGCATCAGCCACACAAAGCATTGAACTAATCGAAACAAGTGCATGTAACCTATTAAATTCATGTAAATTACCCTTTTGGACTAGCTCGTGTCTAAGAAAATCCGTATAAACAAAACTGTAGTTCATATTATATTCTATTTGAAATAAAACAACATGTGACAGAAATGTATGTGGCTGTCAAGAAAAGGGACAGATCTATATTACTTAGACTCCAGATAAGGGTATGTGTTCGAATAGTTATGTTCAATTTATTATTATTTTTAGAAAGGATTTTTCATGTATTTGAAGATCTTTAGAAAACTCTATTTCTATACTCATCTTCAGATATGCATCGGACAAGGGTACTTCAATAAAAATGAAGGGTAGCTCTAATGCAGGGACAGATAAATATGCTTGTTATACATATTTCTTACATAATAAAAATTTATTACACTTTAACACTTCCATTTAACTCATAATATGAGGAATTTGAGGGTGAAGTAGTGTCACTACCTCAAACACCTGGCTGACACTAAAGTCTCCTATCTTCACCGCACCCGTGCTAGTAATCAATAAATTGTCAGGTTTTATATCTCCATGCACAATATTCTGCAGTTAAAAG